TTTCTCATGATTGTTATAGTTTTTGGTTCCTAGATAAAGGTATGGGTAATATATTCCATATTATCCCTTTGTTAAGTCTGATTTTAAAAATGTGACTTTAGCACAAGACCAGATTTGAAATCTCTTGAAGTACCATTTTATTGAATTCATATATGTAGAAATATTTCCCATGTTGTTATCAATAACTATCTCCCATTATAAAATGGCTAAGTACATAGAATGGAAGAAACCCTTTAAATAGAAGACCTCTGCACATATATACAGTGCTTCAAAATTAAAAGGTTTGTTCTGTTTTGCTAGAGAACCTGTTTCAAAAATATTCTCTAGTTCATATATGGAGAATTGCTCTCAGACCGCTTATTTTTGAAAACATAAGAGACTTTAAGAGTGTTTGCAGAGGGTGTAAATGTCCAAGTCTGTGTCTACATACACACACCCTGGCTGTGTCCCCATAAATGCGCATGTGCAGTTTGCAGTGTCGCAAACCCGTCTGCAGCACTACAAACCACACGTGCCACATATGCACGTATTCACTGTACTGCTAATTTGCAGTGCAGAGGATTTTTTTTGACACCAGATAATCCCAGTGCCAAAAAAAAACCTTGGCAGAAAAAAATGGGGTTGTGTATATTGCTGCAGCATGCACCAACCCAAAACTGGAGCCTCGTTGTCCTGAGCCATGCTCTGGCTGCCAGCCAGTGATCCGTGCACCTGGATCACTGCCACTGCAGCCCCGGGAGGCCCCAGGACTCCAGGAAAGGCTGCTGGAGCCAGCACAAGTACACACCCCAGCCTCCCCTACCCACCTGGGGCAATCAGCTATGAATGAAAGCACATGTGTGGGGCCATGTCTGGAGACAACTAGTAGTGACACAAATAAGTGCATACAGAAACCATTTCTTCTCCCAAAGGTTTAGCCTAGAGAGGCCAGTGGTCTAGTGAATGAGAGAAAACCTAGGAGTCAAGGTTTTGGTCCCAGGTTGATCACTGATCTGCTGTGTAACTTTGGGCAAGTCACTGCCATTCTATATGCTTTCATTTCTCCTTCCAGCCATTGCCTGTCTTGTCTATTTGGGTTGTAAGCTCCTTAGAGCAAGATCTGCTTTTTATTTTGTGTGTCTATGGCCATTTCTGTACAGTAAATTCAGCATGCTTAACAGTAGTACCCCCAGGCAGGCTGGATTACTTTGGAAAAGCTGCCTCTTAAGACAGAAGTGATGTAGGTGTGTCCTTGTACAACTTCAGGTGGGCTAAGTAAGACTGCTAAGTGACAGGGCAAATCAGCTGCAGATGTGGCTATGCTTCTTCCAGGTTAGGAGGCAGGTTGCTTTAACAGTGCAGCATGCTTTTGGGAGCAGCTATCAGATATGGTACATTTCCCCTGTAGACACGGCCGACAGCAAAAGTGTTAAATTTCTTTGGCCTTGCAGGCCAGATGAGTGGCATGGGACTAGTCCACAGGCTAGATCAGGCCCACAGACCCCTGCATGCTGGATCTAATACTTGTAGCAAACACTCTGGCCAGTCTGGAAGGGGACCCGGCAGGAAGAAGCCTATGTTGCAGGCACTTTATTACTGCCATGGGAACAAGCCCCAATGCTAGACTTCTTCCTGCTGTGCTGCTGCAGCTCTAGTATGGCTGCTTTTGCTCTGGTACTTGGCAGCCAAATAGGTGCTGAAGTCCCAGCAGCACTGTTGTTACACAAATTGCCAATTGTTCAAATCATGAGTGAGATCTTATGAGGGAGGATAAGGCAAGATGCCACATTTATTGATTAAGCACTTAATACACACACACCACATTCATACCCCAATTTCTGTTCTGTGCTGGTATACGTTACCAGTCTTATTGGTGCTCGGATCAACTTAGTGGCCAGCCAAGTTGATCACGAGTAGGAGCCAAGCTCCTGCCGATCCATCCTGTCAGACGAACCAATGCTCCACGATGACATGCAGAACAAGACCCAAAATTGATGTCTCACCCCGTCTTTTATAGCCTTGTAAATTCACCCAGTCCTCTGGGATTTTGCTGGGTTATCACTGTGTTCTTTCTTGAAGGTTGATTGTCGTTGTTCTCTCACTGTTCTGGAGCGGATTCTTCTTGTTTGATCTTTTATCTGTCTGCATTCTTCAGCCAGTCACCACCTGGTATTTTCCTTTTCCACAAACACACTCTCACCCATACAGCATACAAAAAAGTAAAAGGTTGAGCACTTATGTCAAGCTACAGAACAATACAAAATAGAGTTTCTTAAGGCAATGCAAAACACAAGAAAATACATAAAATTAAAAGCAGTAGGCAAAAAGTCTATTTGTATAACACTGTGGTTTGTTCCCATGGTGGCAGTCAAACAGCGAGAGCTGTGGTGCTGGAGTCCCAGAAGCACTGTGAGAAGAAGCCTGGTATCATGGGTGCTTGGCTGGTGCTGCAAGAATGAACTGAGGTGCTGGACTTCTTCTCACAGGGCTGATGTGGCTCCAGCACTGTCTCTTCTGCCCAGGTACTTGGCTGCCACCACAGATAGATCCCCAGTCCCAGCCAGGGGCAGGGCAAAGTCTGTGGGCCAGATGATCTGGTTCTTCAGGCCAGATCCAGCCCATGGACCATATGTTTGACACCACCCATCTACAGGTCCCAAGTGTCATTGGGACATCTATTGCTACTGTATTATGAAGTATGATGTAAGTCTAAGAAGTATATTATAGGGGGAACATGTTCCGAGAATTACAACTTGAAGAATATAATTATCTCAGGATGTCTGCATACACCCAGCCTAGGAAATGAAATATGCTTTCAAGTGACTGAAAACACAGTAGAAGGCAGGAGAGAGACACACCTGATAGGGTAACTGAATTAGAAATGCATCTGTTTTTGGCAATAAGAGCTCACTTCATCAGAGAGCAGGCTATCAAGTGGAGAGTGGTTTGAATACAAAAGAGAAGGAGGGAGGAGAGGAGCAGGGCTGGAGAGGCAAATAAGTAATAAACCCATACTGACAGAGAGGTCAAAAGCTATACCTGGTAATGGGATAAGAATCTACAGTCCCTGTTTAGACCATACTTAACACAGTCTAGTTTGTTCTGCAATTTCACATTCAAGTCAGCTTTTAAAGTTCTGTTTGGAACAGCTATGCTGAGGTCAGCGATGGAATATCAAGGAAGGTTAAAGTGTTTGCCACAGGCTTCTGTGTACTTTTGGACTCGACGTTAAATCTTTGGTGTTATATAAGGAGAATTGATCAAAATATGGGATTTCTGTGCCACAGGATACTGACCTTACAACATTTGCTTTATTCTAACGTGGGAAAAAGCATTCAAATTTTCCAGACCAGAAATTCAAAAAATTCAACTAGGACACACCAAAACAATTCATTCTGCCATTTTATCTGAAGGACAGAATTCTGTTTCACCTGGTGGACAACCAAAGTTACGACCAACTCTGAGTTACCTGCCTGAAGTCCCCCTCTCTGCATGTAAGTCCCCCCATTATAAGAATAGGAAGACCTCTGTGCATCTCTGGGTGGTGATGCATCAATTTTTCATGTTGGTTCAAAAAATTAAATTACCATCAAACTGAACTGAACTGAAACATTTCATTTACATTCCCTAATGAAAAAATAAAATAAAAGATTTGAGATCAGCATCTTCTCCAAAACATTTAAATTTTGTGGATACTGTATTTTCCACAAATTTTCCAGTGGGAAATTCCCAAACTGTCCCATCCATAAGTTAGTAGTACTAAATGAGGCAGGAATCCAATTCATCCTTTCTCCTTTCACAGTTACTCATGCACATGTGGTTACAGAGAGACATTTTATTTATTTAAATATATATTGCAAATTCACTATGACATAAATACATGTATGTAAGAGACAGCTGTGTTCCCTTTAGACAGCACTAAGTCTAGTTTTAAGCTATAACTACAATTAGCCCATGCACTCCTGTTAAAATAGACCTCTCTGTTGCAAATGTACCCTGGGTGGTAACAAAATGTGAAGGACAGAGCATGTTATACCTATTCATATTTTCAGACAGTGCTAAATGTGTGATGTTCAAAATTGCTTAGTTCAATAAATGTAACTTCTGTAATCAGATCATATGGAGATTGGCTATATTATTCTGACTATTCAAAAACTGCTGAAGTCCCAAACCTCACTTACAATCCCATCTTTTCCTTCCCAGCAAGTTCTGAGGCATAGCACTGCAAAGAATTATACATGTGCATGTGTGTGAGTGTGATTAGGGGGAGGGAAAAGCATTGCATGGCCATAAACAGCG